CAACTAAAAGTGAAGCAAAAGGACAGGTTTATGGGGACAGAAGAGACAGACACAATATAACTTATGCTGGAGCAAATTGAAAAGAAATGAAAAAGATGATATGTGTGTCATGAAATGAGCTTGTTTAACGATTTTCTGTAAGTCGTCTTCTTGTTCCAAAAGTTAGATCAAGACAGACAATTGATGTTATTTGAATCTGTTAAATCCAAAACATACCTGTTGCATGTGGGTTGGAAGCAGTCATAATCATTTTATCATGACCGGCTATAGCCTGTAGTCCTGGATGACCAGCCACTGAGAAAGAGTTGACAGGTTGAGTCGTTAATCCCGAGGGATTAAATCCGTTTGGTAAAGATCCTTGTGGAATCTGAAACAGCGATGCTGATAGATTATGCTGGGCTTTCTCCACATATTTTTTCAATTCTGCTGATAACGGGGAATCCTCGTCGGTTTCCATGGGAACTTCTTTTTTGATGGATGTAGGAACTGTTGAAAGATAAAAATAGATTAAAATTGTGTTCTCAACGTATTTTGAGTTTTTTGTCACAGAACAAAAACAGGAACTTTTACATTCAATTTGGAAGTTGATTATAGACTAAGAATTTCAGAAGTATATTTTGAGATCTTGACAAAAGGTTTGAAACCCAAATATGGAATGACTTCTAATCTACATTTTTGAAATTTTGAAACAATTGCCTATAAACATAAACTTATGTAATGCTCATTGTGTTTATCTTTCAAGAAAACTAGAGCCATCACCTTCCGTTGGGTTTCAAACAACATGATGTCTTTCTATGAATTTTGGGTCCAAAGATGATTTTGAAACATATCTTTTGTTTGTTTGATACATGAATATCTATTATTTTCAATTGGTCATGCTGGGGAATGTCCTGTTTTTGTTCAAAAAAATATCAGGTTATTTTAGCAAATCAATCCAAAATAAAAATTCTAATTTTCAAAAAATATATTAACACAAAACTTTCCAAACACAACCTGATATTTTGAATGACAAAGAGAGATTATTTCGACTATGGAAATTAAACCAAAGTGCAAAATATTCTGAATTCATGCTAATTATATTATGAATGTATTTATGTATTTTTGTTCATATTTTCCTTTCGGATGTGATATATCTTGATGTAATGTGCTAATTTTAAGCTTTAAGCGAAGAATTCTACGTTTTCAAACAGAATTTTAACTGACTTTGTTGCTAAGTAATATCAATTTAATGTTAGTTATTTTTTTCTAGAAAAAGTGATTTTTGTTTTTCCCTAACTATATTATCTAGCTAGAAAGTAAGAAGCAAGAAGCAAATAATAAAAGCATCTAATGTAACTTTTATTTTCAATGTGTTGTTGTAAGTCACCAAATTTCATTTCAGATTTCCAAATTATTCGTATTTGGTACAATTCATAAAATCTTATTGATAATTTTGAAATGAAATTTTGTGACTTTTAGAACTTGAATGATGGAAGAAAATTCAAAGAATCTTAGGGCCTCATATCTTGATATGACTTTTTATCAAATCTTAAAATTCATTAATTTCCAGGCATTAATTAAATAATTATTAAGTTTCATCTTTGCCTTTGTACCTATTAATATGACAGGTTTCATTCAGTAGAAAATAACAAAATTCTTCAACTTTTGCTTGATTGGATGAAAGATGTTGATGGAAGGTGTTCTCAAAATATATTAAGCAGAGCTGTTATCAGTTTAGAGGTGTACTAAATACTGAAACGTGCCTGAAACTATTGTGTTGATAAAAAATATATCAAAATATGAGGTCAAGAATCTAGGAATCAAATAATTAAACCCATGGACCAGGTGTATTGGTATTGTTCCAGACTCTAAAGATTGCTTTATGACAATACATATCAATGGTTGTTTTTAAATTAAAGGGAGGCAATTCAAGATAGACCCGATATCATGAGACACAATGAAATAAATGATTATCCACCTGCGGACCATGTTGCACTAGCCAAAATGGCGCAACTTTAAATATGATCGGTAAATGATCATTTTACATGTATAAAGACATGTCAGCCTTCCTTCAGTATTTCTACAGGGGAAAAATTACAAATAATTATTATTCATGTCCCTCCCCCCATGGCTTGCATTGAATATGTACAAAGCTGTAGACTGCAGAGTTTAGAAATCACCTTTGCCAAATGTTGCAATGAAAAATAGGATATTCTATGGCTTTTTGAAGAAAAAATTTTCCGTCGCCAAATAGATGCAATGCAGAGAAATTTTCATAATTTTGAAGAAGAAGAAGGAAGTTTCCGTTAAGACATTTTTGACACCTTTAGAACAAGCAATCAAACTAACCCAGCAACTGCCTTTGACATATAACAGATAAAACTTGGGACAAAAATGATTACAAATATCTGCTTTAGATGATTCAACTTCATGTATGTACAAGGAAGCAAACTAAACAAAAACAACATTCTTAACGAAACTTTTAAACCAATTTCTTTCCATGCATATTTCAAATTTTCAAAACTTTTATGTGTTAATGTAAACATGTGTGTGCTTGAAGCTGAAACTGTTTCCACCATGTCAAATGTAGTAGAGTTTGTTACCTTCTACATCACACAAAACCATAATCTCCAAACCTCACAATGCCTGTACAATTACTTATAAAAGGCTATATCTTGATTTCCTGGTTTGGGAACTACTTACAATCTTAGGGTAAAAATTGCTTCTAGAGCAGTTTCTGGCTTATATTTGATATCTTAGTATATCTCAAGCCTCTTAAACATTTGTACAGAAAATTAACCCCTGATATTATCAAACTAACTTAATTAAAAGCTGGATTATCTCAAACATTTGTCAACTAATCAACTACAAATTGCTTCACAAAAATTGTTTCTAATGTTTTCACAGACTCTTCCAATCCAAATTGTTACCAAATCAAAAATTTGGCTCTAAACTGTAGCCTGACAGCCTTGTACATACACATGCAGAAAAAAGGAATAAACATAAAATTAGGGCTTACAATACCTCGACAGAATGGTTTTTTCTCCTCTTTCTAATGGCTCGCGATTAGCCAGAGATATGTTTTATTCTTTTTTCTTTACAAGTAGGCAACCAGAGCAAAACGAAAATCACTGCTTTAATGTTCTCATGTTGTAAATAGTTCAGTAATTGGCTGAGATTTAAGAGCAAAAACTTTTGGAATTAATTGGAATTGCAAAATTTGGTGTATTCTTTGTTTTCAAGAATTAAGATTTCTGAAGTAAATATTACTAGATATTATTGATTTAAAATTCTACGACTGCTAAAGCTAATGTTCCTAAAGGCATTGCCATGTACTCTTACTTGGCTTTCTAAACTCAAGATGCCAACAAATTTCAAGATTTAAGATTCAAAAATTGATTTCTTTTATCATGAAGATGCAAGATTTCACATAAAATAATCAAGTTTAAAATATCAAGATTCAAGATTTTGAGATTTTCATGTTTCCAAAGACAAAAGCAGTGATTTTCAAGATATGCTGAAATCCAACGACTCATTAGCCATGATATAGGACACACAAAATGGGGCCACGAATGTCAACAAGGATGCCTTCCTATAGTGGACTCTCTACAGTATTGTGGACTCACTAGAGTAGATGTCAGTGGTCTGAGGTGACTGATGAGATTATCACATTTCAACCAAATCAAGACAATCAGGGCATCCCACCCTTTGAACTATTTGGAAATCAAATTGTGTCTCATCTTAGTAATAATTACCATGCGAGTTTGGATGAGTTCAAATTGGTTCAAAAATGAAAATTTCATGCGTACTATTCTAAAGTTAACTTCCCCTCTCCCAGTCAGTTTCAAAAATCACGCACACACACTATCCCAATCTTGACTTGGTTGAAATGCCATATTTACTGGCCCTGTCTACAATTTTCATACTTGATTGAAAATAATTTGAATGAATTTGCCAAAATCTAATATTTCTTTTGTTTGAGTTTTGACTGATCTTTTGTCAGTTCATGTAGACATTTTCTCAGTGATACTGTGAGGGTACAAAAATAACTGAAAGAATCAGACACCTTTTGGCATCAATTTCATGTTGGCATTAGCCCAAAAAAATAAAAAGTGACCCTACGTTTTTAGAATAACTGCATGTAACTTATCAACTGTAATATTTGCAGCTGGAGGTATTTTAGTAAAAAAAAAAACACACGCAAATTAATATATAGGAAGAGCCTCCCTGGTCACATGCAGTTTCAAGGCCTAACATTAAATTACTAATACCAACATGAAACATGGAAATATTAATTTTGGAAAATCTCTGTATTTCTTAACTATTTTAAAGGATAAACTACACTCTATTTCAAATTTGTGAAAGCATACATTGTCCACTTAATATATTCAATCAAAAAGCAGTTACAGCTCAGGCAATTTGGATGCGAAAATTTTCTAAAATGGGATTTGCTTTGTAAACAATTCAAGGATGGAACATACAAAATAATCATCAAAATGGAAACCTCTCACAGTATAAAGGAGATTGAAGGCCAGCGGGTGGAACTGTTTGAAATGAGAAAATGAATCTAGAGACCTACCAGGTGTGTACATATATTTCTGGGGGTCACTCATCTTGCCGTCACAACGAACTACGACCTGGACTTGAACTGGTTTTGAAATATCTTGTGTATGATATTCAGGTACTGTACATATCAGATGTTGCTGAAATGGCATCAAATTCAAATTCAGGAAGGAAGAAAGAAAATGTAAATTGAAATTTGGATACTGCACAACTTGGTGCAACTTCTCCACAAATGATTAATATTTTGAAAAATCAGATTTTACAGTATTTTCATACATATTCTTAATAATATATATATTTCATGCCTTAAAAATACACAAAAGCTTTATGGAAGTCTTCATATAGAAACTTAAAAATCAAACCTTTAAACCTATTTCAATAATACATACCTTTTGAAAAAATTCATTATCAATATCTGCCTCTTTTTCCCATATTACACTACCATCTTTTAAAGCAACCTCGCGGAATAAAACTTTGGTTCCTTTGACAAAATTCTTACCAATGATAAATAACGACTCTCCACCATTGACACTTCCACTGTTTGAACTAATACGACCTATTTCTGGCTGCCCTTTTGGCTGAGCTGTAAAATAGAATGAAATCGAAATGAGTCTTACTGTTTTGCACCTGATTAGGCTAAGCCTGATTAGAAGACCAGCATTGTAAGGTTGTGTGCATTGAGGACATTTTGACAAGACAATGGCATTAGCCTTCTCTTACTGTCAGAGGATCTTTAAATTGTGCAGCCTGTAGTAATACATGGCATTAGTTAAATCAAAATAAAACCAAACTTTCCTTTTGTTTTTTTATTAGCTTTTATTTTCAATTTCAGTTAGGGTCATGTGCATTTTCCTTTCATACATTAAATCAAAATATATCTAATCACATTTAAAGATTTGTTTGTAAATCTTTTTAAAATATTATTCAGTTAATATCAATAATATTTCTATCAATGATCTTTAATTAGGTTAATAACTAGGTCAATGGCATGTAGAAATTATATTTATTGAACTTATTATACAGTAAACAATGTCAGATGATTGAAGTACAATATCCTCTATTGCCTTTATGAATATCTTCGCCAATAATGGCACTGGCAGATTAAATTTAGACCTAGACCAAGTCAGCTAGAGCAAAGTTAGAAACTAGATGATTGTGATGGTCAGAAAGGTGCACTTTCATTCAAGAAAATGGTTCATTTTTCTCAGACCCTCTCCCAGATGTCTAATCATCTGTAGGATATTGTGATGGGGTCAGATATTTTCTGATTAGGGAGGGCTGAATTAGTCTCATACTCTTGTATATTCAATCTGAAGTAATGAACTATAAACTATTACTTACTACATAATATAGAGTTTGAAGCACATTGTAACACCTGGAAACTACCATCAGGTTTTTTCACTGTGACTCTGAACACCATTCTAGCTTTTGTGTTATTCTTTTTACTGGCTTTAGCCTTAGCTGTACCAATACGATTTTCAACATCAGCATTTCTTAGTTTGAGTATTCCTACGCAGTCAACACTGTAGAAACATAAGATTATAATTGGTATTGTTTTTTAAATTTTGAAATGTCATTACTTGGTATAATTAAGGATTTAAGGATTACTTATTTAAAAAAGTTTATCACTGCATTATGCAAACAAGTCTTCATATTCTTTTTTTTGTATCACCCTTTAAAATATCATCTGTCTAAAGGATTGAATTTATATTTTGACAACACTAATAAGACAATAAAGCCAAATTAAAAAAACACAGAGTGAATATATATTATTTGGCTTATAACATGAGACTTTAATCGGAATCAATGAGAAATGAACGAAAATTGTAGGCTTCAAGATAAAATGACAAGAAATCAGTGCTTCTTAGGACAAATCAGTAACCAAGTATATCACATATCAATAACACAGTGTTACTTAACAACTCCAAAAACTTACGTGAGTGTCATATCAGGTGAGGGCATAATCTCTGTTTCTATGACAACAGTTCTATCAATAGTTCGCTCCATACACTGGGTAGAATTTTTACCACAGACCTTACAAGCCTGATAAAAACCATGAGGTTTAATTTTACCAGATTCGTTAGCTATGAATATCTGAACTGTTGTAGGTTCATTAACACCCAATAACTAGAAAATAAATATAATTTATAAATAAATACGGAGGTAGAAATATGTAAATGAAACGAAAAAAAAGTTTTACATAATTATACCCCACTATTTGTCAGAAAAATAAGTTTTAAGTCTCTCAGTTCTGCAAAAATTGAACCATGCAAAGCCTATCAAATTTAGCTCCTGAGTCAAGAAAAGAAGTTTTCTAAGAGGGAACACAGCCCCAATGGCTTTGCGGCTTTGGTACTCACTTCATTTTTCTACAAAAAACATTTGGCAGAGCCTCCACAACCCAAAGTTCTATAGTGACCACTGTCCCCTATTTGTAAGAAATGGAGAAGTTGGACCAACCTGTATGATGGGATAACTCTGTTGTGAAATATCTTTAACTGCACCACGGCTCCCTTCTGTTAAATATCGAGCACGATGCTGCTCTTCAGGTTGAGTCAAGATACGTAACTCTATATCACCAACTTTACTCGGATAAACACCATTCAAACTGGCATCTTTATTCGCTACTTTTCTACTGGACGATTTCACAACAGGTGGCACCACTGATTTAAGTGATTCTCCACCAGCTACGATTGGCGTTTGAGTAGTTACTGCAGCACTGTAAGGATATTCAAAAAAGTCTGAAAAATCCATGCTGCACAAATCGTCAACGAAGTTGCACGAATTATGGCAATACTGATCAGGACTTGTGAAATATGTAGAATAATAATTTTCCATCCTGATGTTTCACCGCTCATCAAGCCACTATTATGTTCTCTCATTCACTGAAAAAACTACCTTTATTTATATTTTTGAAGGATTTCTATTGGATAAACAGGATATAAGGAATTCCCTGTTTCTAAAAATAGAATCTGCACTAAGATTCTAAGAAATTACTTCATTGTTTGCCCTAAAGGGTAATATCTTCTGATTGATCACCTTGGGGCAATACGGTGTCATCGCATCTACACCCCAAGAGGCTCTGTATCTGATATATAGATATACAATATTGTGAAATACTGAGTTCACACTTCAGGCTACTTTTTTATATTTTTTTAATAGTTTTGATCACTTGTGAGCTTGAATTACTTCATTAGTAAGGAATGTAAGGTTTAACAACTGAAAAACTTTTCCCTTTACCTTACAATAGTACCAAAAAAGTTAACGCACTTAAATGAAACAACAAATTGCAACAAAAAATCAAAGCAAAAACAGACCATTATGCATATGATTAAGGATAGTCTTAGGCAATAACCAAAACAAAGATATTTGAAAATATATTAACAAACAAACCCTATGTCCTATTTTTTGGATCTTAATTAACCTTTGATTCTCCTTCAGTAGCAATGCACATAACATGTAAAATAAGGTTGAAATTCTTCAGTTGAAGGTTAGTTATAAAACTACAATTCTTACACTTACCTTGTTGGTGTTTCAACCGTCTGAGGCTGTGTTTCTCCAAACTTTTCCACATTTCCAAATTGAGCAAAACTAAAAGCACTGGGATTAGTTGCACCTCCTGCATCGAACCAGGAATCAACGGCGATTGTTTTATCAAACGTGGTAGAATGAGTATCATGATTTCGCTTCGATTTGTGAGATTTTGGTGGCACCATATTGTCATCATCTGAAAACACTGTTGTGTTCCACAATTCAGAAGTTGGTTGATCATCTAAGTTATCCGAATTTAAATTCAGTTCTTCTGATTTTTGAAGAAGCGTTAAATTCGTGTTCCCATCAAAAAGCAAGCTATTGGGTGACGATAATGAAGAAGGAGATTCTAATTGGATATCAGGACTGGATACTGGACTGGGACTCGGGCTACTGTTGCCGTTATCAACATCTGTTGTCAATATTTTACGCAGCATTGAACTAGTGTTTTTATCATTATCATCGTTAGATGGCGCAGAAATCAGTAATTTTGGACGTTGCTTAATTTCAATGCGATCATTTGATTCTAGAAATTGGGTCATATCTTCAGAAAATTGCTCCACATTTCTATAATTCTGCATATGGCTCAATTGAAGCGTTGGCTCACTACTGGAAGCATGGAGCGAATTCCCTAAAATATTTCTAAACGTATGTGAACTCATTTCAGGGTTGGTCACATCAATAGACAAGCATTTAGTATCACCACCCAACGTTGAGTCTCTTTGAAATATAAGTCTAGTAGGGGAGAGTTGCCGTTTCTGTCCAACTTGAACAGGGGACGTTTCCACAACAGGGGATGCAGGTGTTTCTAAATTAGGCTTGCGTTGGCTTATGTCAAATCCAATGCTTTGATTGGGTTCTGTTCCAGTAGAATTTTTCCTTTTCAATTCTTCTTCTTTGACTTGCTTGATAACTTGTTCCTTAAGGTATGTTTCAAGTAATTTAGCAAACGTGATCTTATCGTTACTCGCAGCTGCCTGTTGAACCACTGGTGTTGGGATAACAGTCACATGATTGGGGATATCAATTTGAATTGGAACCGGGATATCACTGTTCACTGCTGCATTCGGTTTAACTGCAAAGAGGCCAACATTCTGAACAACTTTCTCTGGGGCTAGTTTCTCTGTAGGCTGAGACTGGCCGACCACAGTGTTGTTTTCCGGTTTTGAATTGAGCTTACCAGGATATAACTGTTGCAGCAACTCCTTCAGCTGTGCATATGCATTATTGTCTAATTTATCACCGATAATTCGTAAATCGTTTTCACCGACTTTAGACTGACTAGATGCATTGTTATTTAACTGAAGAGAATTTGGCTGAATCACTAATGGAGGGAGCTTGTCAAGTTTTGTAACAGGAGCACCAACTACTGCTCCTCCTTGTGCATTGATCTGGTTCTGGAACTGGGCAGGACTAAAGGCAGTAAATTGGTTCAGGTGTACAGGACTTGTGACTATACCAGCACTGCTAACTACTGGTGTCGTCATCATTTGGCTTTGAGATTGGACTTGTTGGACTTGCGGCAATGTAAATTGATTTGGATTGATCCCATTAATTGAAGCTTGATATGTCTGTTGATTGAACTGATTTGGTGAATTGAGAGACGGAGTTTGAAACTGCTGGGAATTGTTCAACTGATTCACTTTGCTCTGAGGAGCTGGAGACTGAAACGCACCAGAATTTAACTGTGGATTAATACTTTGAGTTGTGTTTTGAAACTGGCCTGGTGTCAAAACCAGGATGGCCCCAGGTGGAAGGGCAGCGTTCTGTACACTTGTGAGTAATCCAGAGGGCAGATTTTGAAACTGAGCTGTCCTTGGACCAACTTGTGCTGTTTGATGCTGACCAAACTGTCTGTGACTGTCTGTAAATACTGTATTGGTAGGTTGAAAGGAGATCTTCTCTGGACCACTAGTAGGCTGTATGAAGCTATGTAACAAGCCCGAATTGACTGAACCGCACGGTGGTTCATTGATTAAAGCAGGCGAAGGACTAGAATGGGTGACCGGCATGTTTAAAGATGAACTGGAGAGCTGAGAAGAAACTTCTTCAAACTGAACAGATTTATCTGGATTTTCAACTGAGGATGACACTTCATTTATCATTTGTGGAGAGTTGACATGGAGCTGTGAATTTTGAATCGATTCAAACCCAGGAGATCTGGCATTGTTGTTCATCATTTGTGTTGAATTTGTATGCAACTTTGAATTCTGCATCGTTTCAAATCCAGGAGATGGCACCTCATTTGTCATCATTTGTTGAGAATTGTTGTGAAACTGCTGTGATCTCTGCATGGATTCAAAATTTGACGAATGTTGGTCGTTATTCATCATCTGAGACGAGCCAGTATGAAGTTGAGAATTTTGTAAGGAGTCGAAGTTCGGTGATTGTGGATTACTGCTAATCATCTGAGGAGAGTTGGCATGAAGCTGCTGAGAATTCTGCATGGATTCAAAACTTGGTGATCGAGCATCAGTTGACATCATGTACTGCATTGGTGATGGAGTCGGACTGGGTACGATAGTTTGAGCAGGACTGGGAGAAGACATGTGAGATGATGGTGATGCAATTGGATAATTTGACGTCTGCTGATATTGTGAACTGTTAACCTCCATCGGTGAATTGACAGTATACGATATGCTTTGTGTATCACGCATCTCTGCATATGAAGATGGAAATTTAGAAGTGACGTTATGCTCTGGGGTGTTCATCTGTTGGGAATATTGACTGGATGAAATGGGCTGTATGCTGGAAACGGGAGGAAAACTGTCCATTCTAAGGAACTGTAGATCAGATGGAAGAATGTGGTGAAAGGAATCGTTATTTCCACCAATTCCTGAAAAAAATATTAATATTGAAGGTTCAGTGAGGTGAATCTTAGCTGAATATGAACAGAAGAAAAAATCAGGCTATCGTTTCTATTTACATAATTAACAATCGTTTTAAAACTTACAGAGGAAGAAAAAGGATTTGTGTTATTATCTTTTCACCTGAATAATTCAAACTTGAAAGTCCTGGAAGTGGAACACTGGTTGTTAGGGTAAATAAACTCTGATATAATAAAGAAAGGTTTGGCAAACCTCCAGAAAGAATATCTAACAACGCTAATGTAATAAAGTAACTCACCATCATTTTCAGTTGGATTAGAATTTGAAGCAGTATCTCTAGTACTATGAGTTATTTCACCGTCTAGAAAATCTGACAATATATCTCTTGTTTCTTGGGCCACTGAGGTCATACTATAATCTGAAAATATACAAACATTTCATGACCCTTTTAAAATGATTTTAATGACATGATATATCAATCAAAACTTATTATTTTGAAGCTAGTGCACACACACAACCTTTAAATCTGCAAAAAAAAATAATTTAAAATTTTTAGACACGTTTATGCAAAACTTGACAAAGTTTCTTAGCAGATCAGATCAAAGACTGGCATCAGAAATATTTCTTCCAAATTCAAATCACATTTAAACCAAAACCAGACTTTTTGGTCACTCCACTATGATCTGACAAAATAGATATGCTTCTTCTGTTCAAGATATTCAACCAATCAAATTCTCTGTACAATACAATACAAGATTTTCTTACAATAATGGCTCTCTACTGAGTGAGTTATCCCAAATATAGGGTTCCTGCACAATATTCAAATTTAACAAAATAACAACTCAATAGCAACATAAAGATCTTTCAGGTATTATGGAGACTATTGATTGAAAAAATAAGTCAAGTAGACTTGTTCAAGGACACCAGACATACCTCAGGCTATTGATAATATATTTATATTTGCCGGTCATGTATGACTGTGAATCACATTGTAGCATTTGGATCACTTTTAAGACATAAAAGTCTATTAGACCATGTATTCCATTCAATAATAAATGTCCCTCAACCAACACATATCTTTAAACAAACAATCCAAATCTTTCTTGAAGTGCAGACATGATACAACAAGTACTACTTGTCAAAATTCAGTAGGGAAATAGGTCAGTTATCTAAAGATTGCACAGCATGAAACTCTGAGTAACAACATGTTTCAGGTCCTGTTTTTATATGTCTAATAATAAGATGAGACAAAAATAGGAAAGAGTTCCTGTCAGTCTGCCATAAATCACCATTCTCTCTCTCTCAGACATCATAATACATTTCTGTTCATTAATTAATAGTATTGTTAGTCCGACAAACCTCTAGTGTCCACACAGTTCAATTTGATAAATCAATAGGAGCTGGGGGTTAACAATTCTTGCAGGAGACCCTGACATGGTAATCAATCATGACCCTGGGGTACCAAGTACCAATATTCCCTGTGTGCCTGTGAGCACCTAAGGGCTTAGGGGGTACAGGAGAAGCCCCACAGAAAGTTTTCATACTTATAAAATAAGTGGTACCTGCAGGCTGCAGTGTCAAAATTTAATAAAATTTAACAAGATTAAAGGATAGTGAACAAAATTTTTTGACCTGGCTGTGGCTCTATCTAAAATCTATATCTAAATAATGTTCTTTTGTATTTGGACTTGTATTCCATTTTTTAAAAAACATGTGGCGACAAATTATTAGAATTAGCTTGGCATGGCCATGATATACTAAACTAAATTACTTACTATATGTATAATCAAGTAGTAACATATTGAAAATGCATGTATCCTATTCCTTTTTCATAATTTATGTGTATCAAATTCACAATTTTGTCAAGTTTTTCTGTCGTCTGATTGAAATTAATCCTTAAAACACACAATCCAAAGTTGATGTTACACTACTTATTATATATCACTTAATATCCATTTCATGTTATTAGTCACAAATGTTTCCAAAAAACTTAAGTTCATTGTGAAGTGCCAAATTTTTGCCTGTGGTGATGATGCAACACAGTTCAGATATTAGGACTGAATCCAAATGATAAGAAAACCAGACAAAAACCATCATCAAGAAATAATACACTCTAGAAAATGTTAATACTTTAAAATATCCAATATTACATATAGAGTCTTGGGTATTACATGATTCAATCAAATTATCCAAATTACCAATGGTTATGGTGCAACAATGTTGCAATATCATATCTTTTTACACCCAAATTCCACAAGAAAACCTGATAATAACTGTCATCCAGAAATAATACACACTAGAATATGTTTATTGTCTCGAATATCTAACACTACAAATCATATAAAATCTTGAGTACTACATACACAGAGTTACACATTTAGTGGCAAATTACTAATTGTTATGGTGCAAGAATATTACAATATTACAACTTTTTACACCCAAATCCCACAAGAAAATCAGAAAATTCATCCACAAACTCCAACTTTATCAAATTTTTACAAATTCATTTAGAATCTTTAGCACTACAAAAGCTTACACATTTTAAGAGCCACATTTTGTCAGTGAGTAAAGAATAACTATGTTACAATATTACGACTTTTTTTAACCCAAATTCCAATAGAAATTCCTGCAAGTTTGTTAATCAACAAAATAAATAATGAAATAGTATATTTGTTTGTAGTAACAAAGTGCTGACACGAATGATTCTTCACAACAGAATATCGACCAATGATAAATGGCTGTCTAGTCTACAACGTAATATTTTTATTCTCTATTCACCTTTTTACACTGGCACATAACCACATAACTTGACATATTGCAGTCTTTATAGGACAAGATATATGTTTCTTCAATTAGATATGTAAATAGCACTCATATATATAGGTCAACAGCTCATGAAAATTTGTTTTAGTTTGGTTAGAATCTTGAAAAACATAAGAAAGGAAGACAGACCTAGCATGACATTAAATATCTAATTTATGGTTATGTTCTCCTGCATCTTATATGGACCTTATATATAATGTTACCAGATTTTGCAAAAGGGACGTCATCAAATGCTTACTTTAAGTAGAATTGCAAGAGTCACAGATGTATTAACTGAAATTGAAATGGTGCAAATTTATGCTATCAGAGTCCCTGATACACATCAAACAATATATTACAGCAGGCCTACGTTAATTGCAGTGTGCAATAAATAATTAGATATTAATACATAAAATAATAGATAATTCACTGTATGTCTGACCTAACCATATAGGGCAACAAGTCTTGGTTAATTGCAGTGTAATTAATGCAGCTATATACAGATACATGATTGATAAATGACTAATACACCAGTAATCTAATGATCTTTGTGTTACATGTAACAGGTTGCTACAATCAGTGCCGGCTCAGAGGGGAGGACCTCAAGCATCAAGAAAAGAAATTAATAGAATCAGCTTGCTATATAAAATTCAATGAAATGCAAGTTAAAGACCATTGTGTCCAAACCACACCCCCATTCGTAATACTTCAAGACTATGTCAAAAACCATGGATTAAGGCTTGCTTCGTGTGATCTACAAGAGATTCATTTTCCTAAAAAAATGGATAGTGGCTCCCCCAAATCCAAGATTCTGAACCCGCCACTGGTTGCAATAATGAATTAAAAATCTTGTTAGCATAAACTATTATTACCACGCTTTCAAGTGGTGTGACCCAGTTGGATTGTTGTTAGCTGAAGAAAGATCATTTTTTAAGGTATATGTCCATCTAAAGAGAGTTTTTTCTATATCAGCTGATAGTCAATTTCATAGGTAACGTGAAACAGATAGCTAGAAAGAGTTCAATAACAAATTTCTAGACAACGATATCCCTTTAAAGCCATTGTAATCATATCTTAGAACAGCTTATAGAACAAAGCTTTTCTTATTCTCAAAATAAATATTTTTCAGTAAATTCCGACTAAACTTGTAAGAAATCAACTGAGGTTCCATTGGGTCAGAAATATATATACATGTCCAATCATCCATGAAATATACAAAGTCATACAAGTTGCTGACAACATATCAAATGATTCCCTGATATTATCCCTAATAAAAAAGTATTATCCAAGAAATATAAGAAAAAAAAAGAATTAGTAAAATTAGTAACCACACAATAAATCATTCAAGATTATTTCCAATCATTATAATATATAATTTTTTTTTCGCCACTATTTTCTGCACATAACAGTAATTGGTTTCAATGAATATTCTCCTTGGCCTGTGCTTTCGTAAATTCAATTGTTATATTGCTTAAGAACCACTTTCACTTAATATCATCCTTATTAAAAGGTACAAATCAAACTTATCAGTCAAATTTTTTGGAATATATCCCTTGAATAACAATAAAGATATAACCATGAAAAGGAGGTATTCAGGTATGTGGGTCATGGTGATCTCTTGGTATGACTCAATAGAAACTTTCTTTTATTAATATAGTCGCTAAGAAAAAGGTCATTGGTTTTAGAAACTACTCAAAGAAACTAAATGAAATAAATCTTTTAAGAAATCAGTATTGCTTAATCTTATCAAAAGACAAATCCATATTGAAATCCAGTAGGCCAATACACCCTCCCTAGTTTGCAAAGTGATTGTTAATCCTCAAGTCTCAAGAATAGACAAACTGTCATTTTAACTTTCAAACACTAAATAAGTGCCTGTAGTCTGCACCATGACCAGTTATCAAAACTTCAACATAGTCTCCTTATTATTTGCCCATGCTATGATATTTCGAGCTAACAACAAAGCGGAAGTTCTTTGAGATGAATGAGAAAAAAAATTTGTCTGGAGTCTTGAAGCTAAAAACAATTCCTGAAAATCAATAATCATAGAAATAATTGTCATTCCATACATTCCAAACTATCTCTGTCACAGACAATTTTAGAATAGATATGTTTTCTCATTGATTTTCATTATTCCTGTATCAAACATTTCTTCCTTATGGATAAACATTAGTCTACACCCATTATGAGAGTTTACATGATAAGTTTTCCCATATCAATGACAGGCGTGTTCTTAATATCAGAAACTTAAAAGACACTCTGGGTCATTTCAAACTTAAACAAAGGAGAAAATGAGCAAAAAAAAACAATAATCGCATATATTAAAAAAACTTTAAAGATAGGTATAAGGGGGTGAGAGCCGACACTGGGCAATTTCTCAAAAGCATTAGCACAGGAATCAGAATTTTTCTTAGCTAACTTAAACCTAGCACCCACCCAAGGCCTGTACATGTGAGACCTTAAAACCCTCACTTTCCCACAATATAAATCTTTGCCATTCTATAATATATGATCTTTCATTATCCAAATCTTTTTGCACACTATGATTGAAGCTGGTGGAACTGCTTAAATTGTTCTGCTTATCAATCAATTTCATATCCTCTTATTAAACACCAACTTTGCATTATTGAGCTTCACTTAAATATTTGTGTCTAGTAAAGTAGGCTTGAAATGTCACTGTTTGTCAAATGGTGTGATTTCATATTACCAACCCTTTTTCGAAGACGGCATGGACAACTCGGCAGAATATATTATTTTGAGTATGAAGCACCTCTTAAGTTCATGTGAACTAAATCTAACTAGCTTGAGTTTAACAGAAAGTATTCTTTGAAATATTTTATTCATTTGAGTCTTTTATTCTGTCCCCACAATATGGATGTCTCAATTCATTCATTTAGCCAAGCTGGCTATCAAGAATTACTAACTTTAGGCCAATATGCGCAGTCAATACACACATTGGCCTACTTGCAGGGTGTTTTAGTAAATTCACAAAAACAAGAACACAAAAACTTACATGAATATAAAACAATCTGTCAAAAAATATCCTTGAATAATATATTTTAAGTTTGTGACAATGTCATACACATATTTCTTATATTTTAATATTAAGTATGTCAACTAAAAGAGGTGGTTGTAATCAGCATCTCTGTCCTCTTGGCCTTATTATGGCACATTTTGATATGCCTATATTATGGCATAAAACCCTTTGAAATTTGGAATGGAAATAAGAAATCGATTAAGGCACATTTCAAAGCCAAATGCTTTAATTTAGCCTCACAACTAGTGTATAGTCAGATACTTCTTTGGAAATGAAGGAATGTCGGCAAATCACACTCTTCTTTTTAAATAGGTCAAGATTTCGGTACTCTCCCCTACTGAGCAAGCTGACCCAGTTTCTAGCAGGACACGTGACCGTCCTTGACCTTTTTTATGATGATTACAAGAAGTACACTATTTCAGAATCAGCAGAATTAATCAAGGTAAATTCTCTTAACAAGCGATCAGACAAGCTTCCCTTCCAAATTGACACATTTAAATTGTGTTGGAACGAATCAGTAGCTTTGAAATCTGGTTTTTAGCTTATATTGTGTTATAATAACACCATTCCAAATATGGAGTGTCTACGCTTCCGCCTCAACAGAAACAAATTTAATGACAATTAAGGGGATTTAAGGTTAATTATGACTTTAATTAGATTGATTCGTTGTCAGTTGATCCTATTTCACTGATCAACTGTCAACTTCATGTCCCGTTAGAGTCATGACGCAATCTTTCAACATATCGGAGAAAGTAGTGCGGCAACAATGGCTGACGGGAGAAAATATTTCATGGCCGCCATCTTGGAAAATAACGTACCTTGTTTTTGGAAATTTCGGCTTTTTTCGTCAGTTTCACTCATGTCCAATTTAACTATATGATCCGATGGCATTCCTTATCGTTTGTATGTCTTTTGGGGTTGATGCCGTTTCTTCTGAACTTCTTTTTAAACCGAAATTCATTGATACAGCGGAGTAACATTACAGATGTGTTTTGTCCTCAGTGCCTCTGAATACATTGAGGTTGGTAAGAATCCAATGTGAATACAGACGATATTTTCATTGGTTAATTATTCACCTAGTGACCAATCATAGATCAGTATTCAATCCATATTGAAAGATAATCAATGGAAGTTGAATATTTTTGTACACACATTACGTAATTGTGTATATATAGCAATTGGGAAATCCGTTTTGTAGTTTAATTGTATTGCACAATATAAACTAGTATTCAAGTGTTAGTTCTTAGAAATTACCCCATGGGTATATAGTAAAACATTCATTAATCACTATATTTAACAGATATACGTCTACTTTCTTAGTAATTTTACGCTTGAACACTTACATAGAATATCATTGCACTACTGTATATATACTATTCTGTAATGCGCTCGTTATCAATTGTACTATCTCGACCTACGTGGCCTATGTATCTTGTATTCTTTAGTTCACGTGAAACGACACTAGACTAGATTTGAATTATCTAAAATGGATTAATTGTTAATGTGAATTTTGATCAATCGCACGCGGGAATAATTTATTTTTTCCTTTGCATTTCTTTCAAGTTAGATCTAGCATAAATATTATTTCGATTCCAAACTTCTAAAACGTGACAGACTTTCCGTTGCATCTCCGAAAGACTATATATTTTGCCGACGAGATTAGCTTACACTTAAGCTAGGCGATAATGGTTAAAAGACACTACCAGACTGTCTATCGACTGACATGTCGCCTAATGGTCTTTGAATAAAATATTGTTTCGATATGCGATATAATTTTGTCAAAAATTGTCCTTATCGTTGAATAATTTTGAATTATTCTCTACATCGGACGCTCTACTGAAGGGATTTTATTTTACAAATTTTAAAGAACAATTCGCTCATATCTTAACTTTAAATTGACTGTAAAGGGCTTTCTTCAAAATTTGATGCGTATCGGGGACACTGAAAGCATAGAATCAGTATCCCCGACACACTTAAAAAGTTTACAAAATATCTTTACAATCCATTTGAGTATTTAATTCAACGATATTGCTGACACAGCATTTCACAGTCCCAAGGCTAAATAAGGGAAACTTTCCACTGATGATAGTTTAGATTCAAAACACGTGTCGACTGTCGACGGATACTTGATATATTTTTGTCAATTAGTCATTTAAAAATTGATAAGATTTTATTATCAATGTAAATGTGTACTTATTTTCGTGCAGGTTCAACTCAAATATTGAAATTAATCTCTAGCAATAATTCATGGTTAATTGGAAAAAAATCAATCAAGTAAATGACCAATGTCGGATTATCCTTTTGACTTATTATATTGATTCGTTATATTGCAAACTGAACAACTATTTTAAGGGTTAAGGTTATATTTTTGAATCACTTTCTCAAAGCTGACAGCACATGTTTAGGTTTAGAAAAGGGAGTTGAATTTCTTTTTTTTTGTTCTTTAACGCACGTGCATGAGAAAAGTAAGCTAAAACCCCTTTATACCCTTGTATAATATACCCAGCCTATTAAGTAATTTACGTATATTACTTGGCCTTGTTACAGTATATTTAATGTGTGTATTATATTATGACGTCTACTATTTGGAATGTAAAAATCCGTTTGTTATTCAAGTGATCAATTGCACTTTATACTGAAGATCAATAGCGAAACAGTTGTTCGAATGCGCAAAGTACACCTTAATTAGCCTACTACCATAATTCAAAAGTTCATTCTTATCAGACTATGACTTAAAATGATGCTAAACAACTATTTGAATACGTTAAGTCCTTTTCAGAATTTTGAAAATTAAACGCATGTCTATTATGCATAGGGCCTATATAAAGATGGAAAGGCTACTTGTTTTCCTTATATATTGAAACTCTTAGTATACTGTGGTCTTGTTTTGCATATTGTTGTATGGATTTTGGATCTGTGTCTGTATTTGAAGTTAACGATTTCGTTTCCCCTTTTCGAATCGAACACAATTACTTACACTGAATAAATTTGCATGCCCTATATTGTCACTATGAGACGCTTCCTTTTGAATTCATGGTTTCATGTTCCTTTAATATTTATTTAGTGCATATTACAATGTCGTGTGTTAGGCGTCCAGGTCATTGTAAATTGATTGTTAAATTTATAAGTGGGATAGGCTCACTTGATATCTTCAAGGACATGTAGCATCTTATATACGTAATACATGTCCAGTGCATTGTTGAAACGAAAACTGCTCCTTAATGTGTAAGGTGTGCTGGAATGTCATGACCCACATTATGGATGTCAAGACACATCCTCTAAGTTATATGACATTAACACTTTGTTATGTTACTCCCCGCATTATCTGGACGGTAAACTCGCATCATCTGAATGTCAAGACCCACATTCTCTGAAAAGACCCTCATTATCAGTATGTCAAGCACTGTGTTTATCTGAGTGTCAAGACATTTTTATGTGAATGTCGAGACCCATATCCTCTGGATGTCAAGACCCACATTATCTGAATGCCAAGATCCACATCATAACGAATGACAAAACCCACATCATTTGAATGGCAGGATCCGCATTATTTGAATGGCTAGATCCGCATTATTTGAATGGCAGGATCCGCATTATTTGAATGACAAGACTCCGAGAACATCTGAATGTCAAGATTCGCATATTTTGAATGTCAAGCACCGAGTATATCTGGTAGTTAAACCCACATTATTTGAATGCCAAGACCCATACCCTATGAATGCCAAGACCCGTATCCTCTAAATAGCAAGCCCCCGATGATCTGAATAGCAAGTTCCATATTCTCTGAATGTCAGGACCCATATATTATCTGTATGCCCCACTTTATCTAAATGTCAAGTATTAGTATGTCGAGACTTTCAATCTATCAGAATGTCAAGACCCGTATCTGATTGTCAACAGATCCTCATTCACTCACCAATGTAATTTTGAATACTCCATTATTGATATAGGGACGCTATTCGTGAATAGCACTATTATCTCCCTTATCCCTCTGGATTTTATCCGTATTAAAGGTATACAGATAAATAATAACGGTAACAAAAATATTGTTTGTGATCTATTTCGTATCGAATAATTGACCGACTATTGTTTGATAATCCTTTATTAAGGCGTCTATTATCTATCTTTATCTCTTGGGGTTCATTAATTATTGTTATTTTGACAACTTTGAGCTCTGATAATGGTCTATAGGGGATATTTTCTTCTTCTTTCTTTTTTAACATTTCACATATATAGATAGATATAAACCAAATTTAAAACGCAATTTAAAGATGTTTATGTCACATGTGTGTGTTATGTTCTTATATTTATATAGTAATACAGGTTTTATCAGACAAGTGCCCATCCGTGAAAAATATCTTGCGTTAGTGAACAGGGCCTATTTAACATGTATAGTAAAGTAACCCACAGAAAATCAACGAAACGAAATTAGGAATTAATAGAAGATGAAATTTACTTTTCGGTGCAGTCTGATTTTTGATCGACATTCATTTTTTTTGCTTTTATCTTTTTTGAGCAAACTAGGTATTTTTATTATCAGGACATATACGTATCAAGGTAACACACGATAGAGCCCGAGATCAGCTAACCAGAGCAGTAATCTCCCCTTCGGTTTTTTTTATCAATTGATAACATATATCTCATCACGTTCGTTCAAAGGGCAAATTGATATACCTTGATAACAATTCATTTTTGCACCGTTGTTTCAGGCTACAAGACGTGAAACAATCCCTATTGACAAGGAATATTGCCAACTCCATCAACGAAGACCTGCCAATCCAGGTATTTTGGGGTTAGGGATTAAGAAAGCCTACAATCTGTTTTGCGCCAGTCTTACCACAAGCTGAAATATGGCCCTAAATATGACCCGAGTTGTCATTCGAGAGAGCTTACTGATCAAAACAAATATATTGCATTTTTAAGCGCAGTTCGTGCCCAAATAATGTCAAAAATCCTAAGTCTATTTCATTCAATGATTTGGGAAATTTGGGGCGCTTTTATGGGTCATTAAACTTTAGAAAGAGAAGAGGAGGGGGTGGGTGAGGGGTTCCTGAAGGGTCACATGAGCTTCAAATTCCATAGTAAGAGTTATTCATGTTGCTTTTTAACTTTAAGGAACTACTTTTTGTTTTTGGATTCAATGAAATGGATAGGTCCCTAGCTAAATTGACTTCCGCTTGTTTTGCCCAATCAGATCACAGTAATATTACCGCCATAACGTATTGAAGGGAGGTAACTCAGCAATTGACATTTTTACAAATATATCCGTTTATACGTCCATGCACGTTAGAGTATAGATACCCGTTTCGTCTCATTCACTACCGGGGTAGAATCATCCTGACGGATATTGATGAGTTGCCGAGGGAATCGTTCAATGATCAACTGACCAATTGTCTGGTCATTGCCTTATATAATTTGTTTCTTTTCAATTTTCAGATGGTGGAAGCTTACACCAGATCTCAACTCGACTATCTGAGAATCACGCTCAAGAAGTTCAACGAAAAACCACACCAGCAGCAGAAAATTTACCCCCATTTGACTCCATCAAGTGTTTTAATCCCATTATTTATTAGAAATGGAATAATTCACGTTCTTTTAACGGTTCGGTCTAAAAGCACATTGACCCATAAAGGTCTTGTAGCATTCCCAGGCGGGATAAAATCGAAAGTGGACACTTCCAGTGTAGACACAGCGCTAAGAGAAGCACACGAAGAGATCGGCCTCTCACCAAACGATGTCGAGGTGCTATCTGTGCTGCCAATGACTTGGACTGTGCCTAATTTTTCTGTGGTTCCCGTTATAGGATTGATTCCAAGTGACTTTGAACCAGTTGTTGACAAAAAGGAAGTCGAAGAGGCCTTTAGTGTTCCTTTAGTGGAGTTTCTGAACAATAGCAGTTGTCGGAAAGAAGTGCACTTCTACTACGGCTGGGGGATTTTCGCTTACTTCTTTGAACTAAACGCAAGTTCTACGTCTGTTTGGTGTTATGGATTAACGGCTTACCTATGCCAAATGGTAGCCGCCATTGTTTATGAGAAATCTTCTTTTCCAAAAATCGTCACCCATCTAGAATCAACACTGACTGAATATTCTGACTTTTATCATTTCATGAGCGAACAAACTTTACTGAAAAACCCAGTTAATTTACGTATATCTAAACTTTAGTATTGTTGCTATGACATCATCAGAAAACCACACTGTTGAAACTGTGAAGTCTACCATTCTGGAGTTCACTTCCGGTTTGAAGCGTCATGATTTCCGGTTTGATCATACTAGACAAGCCAGTGTTCTTATTCCATTAAGGATAAGGGATGGAGAAGTTAATCTCCTCTTTACAAAACGGTCACGTAAACTAAGAACCCACCCAGGAGCTGTATCTTTTCCTGGAGGGATTAAAGATAGAGGCGACAAGGACGATGCAGATACTGCTCTTCGTGAAGCGGAAGAGGAAATCGGATTAAGGCGGGAAAATGTTGAAGTAGTAGGAAATTTACCACCAATTTATGCTTCTCCGCCGACTTCAGTTGTCCCAGTTATTGGAATGATAAAAGACGAGTTCGAATCAATTTTAAATAGAGATGAAGTAGATTTTGTATTTTATGTGCCTTTAAGATTTTTTTCAAAAGAAAATGGTGATGTGCGTGTGTGGGATTTTTATGAGAAACCCTTAAATATGTATTATTATTTCCCAAAGGTGAATGAAAAGACTCAGGAGACGATATTCGGTATGACTGCAATGTTATCTTTAATCGTGAACCATATCGTAATCAAAAAGTCTAAAAGGATGCCTCCAATGCTTTCTGATACGGTAGAAGAAGTCAATATAGAATCTGAACTGGAGTATTATTATAATCATTGTGGTGAACAATCTCGAACCAAACAGTTGGGAAATCTCAACGAGCGATCTTTTAGAGTAAACAGTTCCAAATTATAACTTAAATCCCTGGGTTCTGTTTCACCAAATTTTAAATTAGATAAAATCTAGATTTATAGACATACGGCTATCTACTCTCAGAAGGTAATATCTGAACCAGCATAACTATTGTGGAAATGATGTTTCAAGTGAAATATGTATGATTTTTTATCCTTTTTAATCGTTAACACACTGCTAACGACTTCAATCAATTAAGTGTATAACCTTAAATGACTAAAGGATTCTAAAAGAGACACTGAATCTGGAATCTTCAGTCTTAGTTGGTTATCTACCTCATTTATGACATTCGGTTATGGTACATCTGTGATTGAGATATATATACAAAAAATGTATCCGGACGAGTAGGTCTATAAAATATAAGGAAATAGAGTTTAACGTCCTATTGTGGTGAGGACTACTTTGTGCATTACTCTTTTGTGCCATGTCAGAATTTCAACTTCAGATATGAACTTTTACGCCGTTTTCAGCACATTGAGTGTGAACACTCAGACAGTTATCTGATTAGATACCAATGTTACACTCAGCTGATTTCTTATCACAAATTTAAATCTATGTAGACTACCTCCAACTCTATATCTAATCTTCAATGATAAATATATCTATAATCAGATAATTAAAAACATTTTAATTAAGAAATATAAAGACACTGCTTTATGGAACAACAATTGCTGGTTACAGAGTAATGAAACTTTTTGATGTGTTCGTACCCAATTTGCAATTTAACCAATGTTTGTGGCTCCACAGAGCTGTGTCTATATTTAAAGATACATGATACCTAAGGGGACAAGAAAGCATTCTTGCATTTACCTTCGCGCGTAAATTGAATTTTTATCGTCTTCTGAAGGTTCCACGTGACTATTATTTTTGATAAACGGACGGGATTTTTTGTATCGGACTCATTTTACCATTTCATTCCCCTCTATATTTTGTAGATATTGAATAATACATTATATAGAATGATTTGCAGTAATTTGATTAGAGTATATATAAATCTATAGTAATGGTAGAATTGTTACCTTGAGAACTGTAATATTGACAATACTGTAACATCGCCATGTTAACTGTCTTAATATGATGTTTGTGGTAAATCATTTAACACTGTCTGTAGTTTGTTTGTCACTCCTAGTAAAGTTGCTCAGTATTCCATCTGAAAACCAACCATTTGTTAAACAACAGAAGTTTTAAACACTATATCCGGTACAGTTCTCTAGAAAGACACTCTTTTACAGCTTTTCATTGTGCAGAACATATTTTCTAAAATTGATGAATGAAATGACCGTTGGCACTAAATATAATGTTATTTTTATTAAGTGTCCAAAAAGCACTATTTGCACATCTAAAAGCGCAATACAAACAGTGCATGTGCATTAAAATAAACGATACTTTTTATTTGAGAGTCCAAAATAACGAAACAATTGTTCAGTACACTCGTAATTGTAAGAATATACGAAGAGCACCTGTCCTTTTTGCTGTTATCTGAATTACTGTACCAGCTTGGAATCGGTTCTGTTTTTGTCTGAAAGTTGATGGTTGTTACATATAAATATATATATTCCTTTGTGTATAGGGAGACAGCTGCACATGCGTTGAAACCCTTAAATACAATAAATATACGAAAATGTATATTATAAAGTGGACTGCCCCTTTTTATGTTATACGAGCAGTATTATTATATACATATCTGTTTGATAGAGAGCTCATTTTTTAACCTTAGCGCAATACAAGTTAGTGAGCAAATTAGAAAGAAACGAAGGGGAATTTTACGTCCTATCTTTAGCACTTGATTAAGTCTTTTCGATTTCAATCTGCCAAGGGATCAACGTACACAGCCTGTTTTACACAAGGCCTGGGTTTAACTATACGCTTTTCAGCAGTGGCATTTCTAGGAAACATTAGCTGATGGAGCGAGCAGGGGCCAGAAAATTTTTCAGGGTGGGCACAAGCTATGCTTTCACCATTTAAATTGATAAAAATTTTGAAAAAGGGGTGGGGGGCAAAACCGGGCCAGTATTTTTTCGGGGGGCGAAGGGATTATCTCGAACTATGCTGGGATTGAACACTGGACCTTCAGTGAACCATGTATTGGGATGTAGCGTCAAGGAATTCGTACAGACCTTAAATCAATATTAAACTTCAGCACTAGAAGTGCTATCCCTTCAGGCCTTCAGACGTCTTATCGAGGTCATTGTGCCATCTATCGTCCCTATAGTTCCACATTGCGCGAGGTAGCAATTACTAAATGAATTCTGTTAGTCCTAATGAATTTGTATCAATTTGGAAATGATTAATAGTTTACTTACGGCAAGAACCAAATGAAGTGCTTATAGAACAAATTTTATCTGCCCGTTTCATATACAATAGCCTATAGGATGCAAATCAACAGATCCGTTAAAACATCCATTAGTTAATAGCCCCCAAGAGAGATCAGTGCAATTAAGTCAAACGCGTATTGAAATTAGTGTATTGGTAACATGTCTGTACATGTGTCTTAAAGTTTGAAATCCGTACGTGATTAATCCTCAGACGCAATACGAACAAGTAAACTAGTGTCCAAAAGAAACGATACCACCTGTTTGCAACGACATAAAAGAAAAACTAAACAATGCAGAAGTTTAGGATTGGTGTTATGCTTTTGAGAAATCCTTTCACAACATCTGTACAAAAATTTCATTTCAATAAAATCTGTACAACCAATATGACAAGCCTTTAAAGATGGGTGGGGTCGAAAAAAGAACATTTCGTTAGAGCACTGATCACAGAAACAACGGGAAATGTCACACCACACGTCACAAAGTCAAGTCAGTAGCGGGTATGTCCACCGTGAGCATCAATACATGCCAGAACACGCATACGGACTGATGCCGTCAAACGTCTGATGACGTTGGGAGTGATTCGTTGCCATTCCTCGAGGAGACATCGTTCCAAGTCCTGGACGTTGACTGGAGGCACACGGCGACATCGGATTTGCCGATCGAGGTGGTCCCATAAGTGCTCGATGGGATTCATGTCCGGTGAACATGCGGGCCATGGCAAAACCTGTACGTTGGCGTTGGCAAGGAAGTTCTGTGTCAATCTTGCTGTGTGTGGCCTTGCAATGTCATGTTGGAAAAGGAGTCCACGAGGCTGTTGCTGAATAAAGGGCAAACCATTAACCCTCCACCTCCAAACGACCGGACCTGTTGGGTACAGTTAGGCGCCAAACGTTTACCAAATCGTCGGCCGCCCACTGTACTCCGATTTTTTTTTTCGTACAATGGCAGGTTTCTGTCGTAAAAATGGTAACCGCATGTTTCGAGTTCTGTTTTGATATTTCTATATCGCTCTTAAATAATTGATGTATTGAGCCTATTTTGTTAATAACATTATAGCATTATTAGTTATCAGATATGTAACCATACATAGAGGGTACGCTAACGAGTCGATAATCACAGTCATGCTGTTCAACACGAGTGACATGCTATGCTTCTCTGTTTTTTAACAAATTTTTAGTTTTTGTGGCATGCAAATAATTTGTAGAATAACTTCTCAATAATTACTTTGTACTTTAAACACAGCTGGGGCTAATTTACAGGGTTTGAGGGTGATGTGTGGTAAAGCCAGTGTTGTGGGACTATTGTTCGATAGGCATATTATTAATATCGGAACGATGTATGATTCTCTATATTTATAGACATTTGAATTCCATCTGTCTTTAACGTGCACTGCCTGTTTATTTGTCTGTCGGTTTGTAGTCCCTTTTGAACGACTGGAGGCTTTTGCAATATTAGCCCTCTGGGTTCATAGATAATCTGTATCTATTCCAGTCTCTGATAGCTTCCACAATATCAATCAGAGGCTGGAGTACAGGCATATGTTTCGGACCTTAGTTCATAGCCTTTGATATGGATGTTGGTAAACTTTAAGACAATAAACCAATATCTAGAATACAAGATCGTGTTAATAATACACTTTTTAGTTTTATATTCTTTCTCTTTGATAATATTATCATATGAAACAGTATTATAAGAAAAGTGGAAACTCTGCCAATTTTTTTGTTGTCTGGAATATCAGGTTTCGATATCATCAGACAAACACTGTCTTGATTTATGAATATTTGGCTTGGTGAATATAATATTATAGCCAAATTACCTGTAGACTAAACTTATTTTATGTGGTTTACATGCTCTTATCGTCAGGCAAATCACGTAAAAAACATTTTTTAATACGGTGGATTAAAGACAGGGTTCAATTAAAGTGGTATCTTATTACAGTTTGCAAGTCAAAGTTACCATTTTCGAGAACCAATATTTCCTATGATTAGCCAAAATTATGATTTCTTACGACCATCTTCGAATCAAACCAAACTTTTTGTGAAATTTCTGCAAAATCTGGTAAAAGCCCAGTATACTGCTATTCTTGGCGATCTCTAAAACTTTAAGAATATCTGAATGCACCAAAAGGAAGTATAATATGGTACTGGATAACAGCTAAAATATTCCGTCCTCTTGGTACTGTGCATCCCAGATGTAATTTTGCGCGCCCCCCAATCCCCCCAAAAAAGGGATGGAAATTTTATGATTTTTTGGCTGTAAATCATTATGAATTCGAAATAATAAATATTATGTTTAATATATGTATAGCTATTGTTTATCATTATTTTTATTTCATTTAATCATTATCATAATTTTTATAAAAAAAAATTCAAA